AGGAGCAAGAAGCTACTAGGAGCAAAGGGCATCGCTACTAGGGACTCGTGGCATCGCTACTAGGAAGGGCATCGCTACTACGGACTCCTGGCATTGCTACTAGGAGCAAGGACGCGCTACTAGGACTCCTGGCATCGCTACTGGGAGCAAGGACGCGCTACTAGGAGCAAAGGGCAACACTACTAGGGGCAGCAAGGATGCGCTACTAGGAGCAAAGGGCATCGCTACTAGGGACTCCTGGCATCGCTACTAAGAGCAAGGACGCGCTACTAGGAGCAAAGGGCATTGCTACTAGGGACTCCTGGCATCGCTACTAGGAGCAAGAAGCTACCAGGAGCACAAAGCGCATCGCTACTAGGGACTCCTGGCATCGCTACTAGGAGCAAGAAGCTACTAGGAGCAAATGGCATCGCTACTACGGACTCCTGGCATCGCTACTAGGAGCAAGAAGCTACTAGGAGCAAAGGGCATCGCTACTAGGGACTCCTGGCATCGCTACTAGGAGCAAGAAGCTACTAGGAGCAAAGGGCATCGCTACTAGGGACTCCTGGCATCGCTACTAGGAGCGGACGCGCTACTAGGAGCAAAGGGCATCGCTACGAATGGAACAAGGACGTTACTAGGGGCTAGTCCAGGCTATTCTTTTTTGTCCTGCCTGGTGGAAGTAGTGGCCACAGGGCAGCACTCGGAGCATATCCTCTCAAGAAACGGGAAGCGTGTTGATCTCAACATATCTCAACTATTCAATGAATCATGAAGACGCTTGCGTGTTGAATTTGACTGGAGACTTGTTTCTTCTTTCCCCTTCTGGAAGTTGAGCGATGAATAACGACAATCTGGGGGAGCCAGGCTTCGATTTCGAAAACCGTTGCGGCCAGAGGTGGAGGCGCCTCGTCACCATATGCCTCCAAGCAAAGGCAGCATTCATTGGTACTTCTCCGCCTCCCCTCCTCTTCAGGCACACCGGACAAAGGATCAACTGTTGATGATCAGTGCATGCTGAGTCAACCTGTTTATTGACAATACGGATACCTCTTGGCACTTGGCAGCACCAATCACTATGTAACCTTTCCAGAACACCCAGCTCTTTCTAAATCGTGTAAAATTGATTTCCGTGCTGTCTTCCTGATGTTCATGTTGTGTCTGTTTCCCAGTCCACTGTCCATGGTGCCTCATCTTTCCATTTTTGAATGGGCAAGGCCTGATGTCTTTCATCTCGAAGCGTCTTCGAAGTGAGCGGACTAATAAGTGAAGGTTTACAAAGCTGAGACACCTCCAGAGAAGCAACCACTTGCCGCTCTTGCGCACGCACCTCAGGCAGTTGCACGACAGCACAATACCATTTAATGTTCAATAAAAGGGGGCAGTCTGGGCAGGCAAGGTTCTTCCAGCAGTAGACCCTTTGCGGGTCAACAAATGTTGACCTCCTCAGTAGGTATCCATCCACTCATGCGCCTCTAGCACGTGAGTGTTTCTTGAGGATGCTTCTTGTTTCTAGTAGCTATTTGCTCCTAGTAGTACGGCCAGGAGCCCCTCGTAGCGATGCTCTTGCTCCTAGTGTTTCTGTGTTTCTTGCGAAACCGTCGCAGTGTTGAGCTCCACGCGGCTTCGTTCTGTCGAAACCGTGAGGCCTCCGGTTTCGTGGAGCATTCGCAACGGAGCAACCATTCATGAGGTTATCATGTGGACAACGAGACCTCACCGTTCACATGTCGTTCGCACTCAGGACTCGGGCAAGCTCAGAACGCATCATCAGCTGCGATTCTTGCATCACCAAATCCTGAAGCTTCCGGCCCTCTCAGTCTGAAACGCCATGCTTGCTCACTTCACTATCTTCACTGTTGCTTGTTCCCTAGCTAGGTGAGAGCAAGCGCCTCAAATGGCTTTACGTATCTTGGCGGTAGGACACACCTAGGGGTAATATAAACTGGGTGTCGCTCTCTCTCTCTCTCTATATATATATATACTTAACTGCAGTTGATTCAAGTCCCGCAGGACAACAAACATGAAATCCGCCTAGCTACTCAAAATGTCAGGTTTAATTCTACTTCCCGTTGTTGAGCTAAAAACATTGCAAACACAAGGTCCTTCCAACAATGTTTGGAAGGCTTTAGCACTACAGTATTCAGCACAAAGCTTGAAGCTTGTGATGCCAAAAATTCAATTCCTGTGTTGGAAATATCGTCTTCGGTAATGACCCTCACCTTGCATCTATTTTAGCCTTTTAGCAAACAAGGTAACGCAGTTGTGTTCAATTAATTCATTGCTCAAATCGGTGTCCTGAGCTCTCCTGGCTTTGCAATAGCACACGAGGTACACCTCAGCAATTGTCCGTGAAGGAAGAGGTGGTTCAAATTGTTCAGCTATTAACAAAATGTCAAATTGAAAGTTGGGACAACTTAAAATGAAAAATAGATGTACTTCATCGTTTAATCTCCACTCCAAGGCCTTTTCCAAGGCTTGCCGGGTCTTGAAAGACTTACTTGCCTCATCTTGGTTGAGTTCCAAGCTGGCATCAGAGAGATTGCAAAGCCAACGACGATAAAGGCTGCAAGGACCTCGACTCAATGCTGTTGAGTAACACCAGAGTTTCCAAACAAAGTCATATCATGTAATACCTAAATCAAAACCTGATGAGGGCTCATCTTGTCTCAATGAAGCTCCTTGCCCTTTTGCATGCCTTGGGTTCAACCAATGCGGTGCGCAGTCTGAGGTTTGGTCGCAGGCATAGCCAACCTCAGCTGACTTGGAGTTGAGCCTTCAAAGGGATCATTGGTTCAAAAGTCGAAGTGATCATGATCAGGTCATAGCCGACCTAAGAGGATCCAAGTCAACGATCCCTCTCTGGGGCTCCAGCAGGTGAGAACCACATATCCCCAATGCGAGTACCAATCGGCCTGGCAGGGGCGCAAAACTTTGGGCTGGGCTTGCGTCGCTTGCGCAGTCCGACCTGCAAGAATATCCGAGACGGATAAAGCTCCTTAGGGTGCGATGTGCAAGTGGACATAGCAATCCTGCCTATGAAATGAGCGGCGTCTGCTAATTAGAATGATGACAAATCTGCATGCAGGCATGGCACTCATTGTTCTGGCCGTTCAGAACCAGCATGGCTTCTGATGTGCCAGTCATCATCTTAGGCAATCTGTACATGTTGGTTCAGTCAATGAAATGTTCATTTCGCTGCATTCCATCAATGCAGAGTTCATACTCTCAGGCTAGGCACAGTGGCACTGTAATGTATAGCATAGCCGGTCAGGGACTCAATGATTAAAACAATGCAAAGTGGAAACTAAGCACCCAACCATCCCGGGGGGAATTGGGTTGCCCCGATGAAAGGTTGCGACTCTGGTCGCCGGGTGCATGTTTCCAGACCTCGGGGCGCCCGCTCCAGAGCTTGGAGTCCTAAACATCCAAACCTAATTGCAACGGCCTCCACCTATTGGAAATGGCCTCCAACCTACTAGCGATGGACTC